GTGACATTTCGAAAAATTATATTATATAAAATCGGTTTTTGAATTACTTAATATTTAGCTAATTATTACTTTAAATTATGATGACTCGTGCTACCCAGATAAGTGTAAAATCAATATTACGTTTCATGTTAGATAATTCAATATTATATAGATAGGGAAAAAACAGAGAAAAGCATTTCTCAAAAATATAGCACTTTTTGACATTTTTAAACTAATTAATTTTCTAACCTTTATTAAAATGTCCAAGATAATTTTGATGGCCTAAGAAGATTTTTTTCTCGATTTCATTCACGTGGATGGAAACCAAAATACTATTTCCATTTTACTCCGTTCGCGTGCCATGTTGCAGTACGTATGATATATCGCTAGTATGATGTCTRTAATAATTTAACATATTATAGTATTATACACGTTACGTTATGACATGTAATTCGTCGTCGAACGACAATTAATAAATCACTTTTAGTCTTTTATACATACGTTATGACTTATGATGTATATTATTTATTACGAGTGGATGTGTGTGTGTCTGTCGTGAGCGATGAAAAAGTCGTCGTCGACATTTATAATACGCGTATATAGGTAGGTATAGGTGTATTATATACGAAATTATACTCCATGCTGATTGCTGGTGTTGGTGTACATTATAAATTGTGCACTAAAATATAATGATATAATAAATAAGTGACATCGGCGTATGGCGTGTGTATCGTAAAAATTATATTAACGTAAAATGTGTGTACATACATAATTTATATTAGTTGCGCTACCATTGAATTTGAATATTATAATGTTCAAGAATATTGTTTACCTACAAGATGATTCATCAAGCAGGCACGCCTCCGTTTTTCTTTTAAAAATTAACATTTTCAAATTCTGATAAATCAGATATGTATTTAAACTTTAAAGGCCATTATTTTCGATTAGATTGATAATTTTTGTAGATACCTACTACCGTGGATTATAAATACTATTAAGGGGCCTCAATACGGCTACTGCTATTTAAGGGGCAACATTTCAGTAATTTCTTAACTCACCATCACACCATCATGTTCGCCAATGTATTATAGTTGAAAAACGATTATTAGTGGGAGTGAGATTTCAATACGATTATTAATATAGAAGTATACGAAATCGTACTTTTTAATACGAAAAATAAAAAACAAAATTTTACAGCGTGTAAACAAAATATGTTTTATTGAACAATTTAACAAACAATGTGAACATAATAATTAATGTCTGCTTTAAAATTTTTAGCAGATTATGCCGAAATATGACATACAATATAATACAATGCAAGTTGAAAAAAAAAAACAATAAATAATAATTATAACAAAAAAAAAGGCATCAGAGAAGACGAGGCAATGTGGGTGGTGCGTAATGGCGATTGGGTGATAATTGAATATGTTGCTAGTAAGTACATGGCTACTGGTCATTTCTACAACGTTGTTCAGTCGGTCCTGCGGGGCGTTCGAGAATCGCGGGCGCGTTTGCCCGAGTCGAGAAGACGACCATGGCAGCGGACGGAGCCCGACCACGACGGTTGCGAGACGAACGACGATCGATGACGAGCGACTACTGCGCGATGTTGTGCGCTTGACGATACTGCTGCAGGTGCTGAATACGATGGCCGTTGTGCCGACGACACCGGTTACCTAAAACCTGCAGAGCTCTCGGAGCGAGCGA